AGCGACATAAGTACAATTCCAGAGTCATGAAAGGGAATTTATTAAAATATCTTGAATATTGTGCGAGTGTTGTGTAAGTAGTGTCTAAAGATATTTCTGGTGGATATTTACCCTCGTCGTGAGGTAAAGTTAAATAAAGCAAGGAAAACTGGAAGGCAGCTGGGTTTACTTTAGAAGGTTTAGTTAAACTTACCTGCTACCCAGGAGTAAAACGTTATAAAGAAAATATCACAGGCTTATTTTGTCCAACATAACTACATATGTGTTGTTAGGTAAGACACATATGCAACAGTTAGGTATCTTTATTTCGAAACGTTTCGCCTACACAGTAGGCTTCTTCAGTCGAGTACAGAAAAGTTGATAGAAGCAGAAGAGACTTGAAGACGATGCAATCAGTCCATCACCCTTAAAGTTTTGAGGTGGTCAGTCCTTCAGTCTGGAGAAGAGCATTGTTCCAAAGTTTGAAACAATATGGAGTTGAAGTGACAGGATGGAGCCTTATATAGCGCCAGGAGGTGAGACAGGTCACTAGTAGAACGCAGATGTTGGGAGGTCAGGTCCCTCTCAAATGCAGCCGCTCTCACTAGTAGAGGTAGTCGAAGTTGATTCCAGGTCTGTACCAAGATACCCTTGTGTTGCAGTGTCTGACAGATTGAACGTTTCGAAATAAAGATACCTAACTGTTGCATATGTGTCTTACCTAACAATCTGTCGGTATTTTATACCATTTTAATGTTCATAACTACATATATTTAAAATGAATATACCCTTGGTTTTCTCTCCTTGCATATGCAACTGTATCTGACCAGTGAATATATATACGCTAGACTTTCTCCCCCTGTCATCTGTATCTTTAAATATAGGTTGAACAATCACATGAGCGAGTGCGAGCTAGACCTGCCTAGCACGGTCCACTAGACATGATGCAGGATTCCTTCCTTGTGTGAATATAGATAGGGTTTCTTGTTTAGCCTATGTAATTATCTAAACAGTGAATAAACGCTAGGCTTTCTTGTCTAGGGTCTGTAACTGTCTAAAATGAATATTCACTAGTCTTTCTTGTGTACCATTTGTGTAACTCATTTTTAACCGTGTATATAAGCTAGGCTTTGCCTATCGTCTGTGTAACCATACCTAAGCAGTACATAAATGCTTTATTGTCTAGCCTCTTGGTAAGCACTTTCAAGCTTCCTTCTTAGTGTTAGGAAACTAAATTTTCATGCTTGTCACAACTGTTAATAAGCTGGTTACTTTGTTAGTATGATAGACTTTTACCCTTTTGGTGTGTCAGTTCATTGTAGACTTGCTAGTTAGCTTAATCTATACTCAAAGTTTTAACATATTCATGGTGAAACTTAGATTACGTTGACTCTTCATTTCAATGGCCTGCTGCCAACAGTAATGAGAAAATAAGAAGTTAAAGAACAAGATTTTATTTGGACTACGTTTCACTCTGTCGAGTTAAACGTTGTCTCAATTAAAGGTTGTTTGACGACGTGTCATTGCTTTACGTCGAGTCTTTAGCAGGAAATGTGAAGCAGAATTTATATCCTCATTCTTACCTTAATTTTATGCATACTAAAAGAACTGTTAGCCTTTGTGTGGGATTTCTGTCTTGCTGGATGTAACATGTAAGGACCCTTCCAAGGTGGGTGAGGGAACCTTGATACTGGCGAGAGGCTCTTGTTCTAATGAATTAGTTACCCTATCATTTGGAGAACTCAGTAACGTAAATGCAGCAATAAGAAAATGACAGGGTAAATTACGAGAACTTTCAAAACAGGAAAAACAACTACTCCGGTAATGGTAATTTTCCAACCAATAATGTTCTCACGACTTGAACATTGTTCTGTGCTCATTACCTTTCAAGGCAGGAGAGATAGCAGAGCTGGAAAATATACGGAGGCCGTATACTGCCCGCACAGAAGCAATAAATATCTGAACTGCTGGGAATGCCTCAAAGCACTTGATTTGTTCTCTCTTGAACAGAGAATACAGAAATTCTTGATAGTATTAAATGTGTGTGGAACATACTCAGAGTCTTTATGCTAACTTACGTACTGTTATGGAAACTTAATGGGGTGAAATATATGGGAGAAAATGTAGAATAAACCCATCGAGGAGCGGGGCTTTGGCCATGAGCGCAATTAATAATCATAATAAATTTATTTACTACAAGTACATATACATGGTATACAGGCCTAGCTGACATCAATGACATACTACTATATAGAAAGCCCCTTGTTATAAGAACATAAGAAAGGAGGATCACTGCAGCAGGCCTGTTGGCCCATACTAGGCAGGTCCTTTACAATCCATCCCACTAACAAAACATTTGCCGAACCCAATTTTCAATGCTACCCAAGAAATAATCTCTGATAATTCTATCCACTCATTTGCAAGTCCCAATCAAATCCAACCCCTCTCACTCATATATTTATCCAGCCTAAATTTGAAACTACCCAAAGTCCTAGCCTCAATAACCCAACTAGGCAGACTGTTCCACTCATCAACTACCCTATTTCCAAACCAATACTTTCCTGTGTGAGGAAATGGTATGGTGATACCGACAAGATGTGGAAAAAGACACTTATGTACAGTTCAGACATTTATGAAAGGAAACGTTTCGCCACGTGATTAAAGAAGACGACTTAAGACGGAGAAAATGCATTGAAGCTGCACTAATCACTGTCAATAACACTATAAAGCAAAAATCCGGTAGTTACAGTATTTCAGAATTACGAATCAAGAGGATATTACCCATCCTGGGAACTGCTGTTACACGATGTCAGCAGGTCCCATTCTAGCCTCACTTCCTTAGTTCCACTACTACTACTACTACTACTACTACCACCTCTACCCACGCTCCACTTCACCTGACTCCTGCCACTATATGTATGCGTTTTCTTAGTTTTCTCTGCATTAGGACTGAAGAAGCCACTCGTGGCGAAACGTTTCCTTTAATAAATGTCCTGAACTGTACATAAGTGTCTTTTTCCACACTTTCCTATGTCCTTTCTAAATCTAAACTTGTCTAATTTAAATCCATTACTGCGGGTTCTCTCTTGGAGAGACATCCTAAAGACCTTATTAATATCCCCTTTATTAATACACATCTTCCACTTATACTCTTCGATCATGTCTCCCCTCATTCCTCTTCTAACAAGTGAATGTAATTTGCATTTCGGGCAAATTAGATCAGTTTTATCCCAGGATGTGACCCACACCAGTCGACTAACTCCCAGGTACCCATTTTAAACTGATGGGTGAACAGGGATAGTAGGTGTCTTATGGAAACATGTCCCTAATGTTTTTCAGCCGTACAGGAGGAGATTCAAATCCCGGACTTCAGTGTGTGAGCTGAGTGCGCTAGAAATCGAACTACGGGACAATATACTGTATCAACATTTTTGGTCCGTGTAGCATGCAAATAGTATGTTGCAATTTATTCGGCGTATGTCACACTCCCATATAGGCTGCCTCTCAACCAACGAACCGGGTGCTAAGGGTTTAACGATCTTTAGGGTACCCATCGTTAAATCAATACCTTGGTTCATTGACCAATCACAGACAAGCCCGCCAAAGCTGAAGCAATGTGGTTCACTTGCAGTAAGCATTGGCAGACTTGCCTAACTGCTGGTTGAGTACGGTGCACTCCCTCTGGCTTCTGCTTTGCCATCTGTCACCGTGGTGTACACTTATTATTCTATCTATGCATAGTGTACATATCTGTATATAGTGGGTGAAGGCAAAATATACATTATAGTCTACTGCTAAGTTTTGTTTGCTCCAATTCCCATTACGACCAGGTCTCACAGGCCATTCTTTACCTGTGCTCGTAATAGTCCGAGACTCTTCACCCTACTGCCAGCAGTTATCAGAAATACTGCCGCAACGAAGACAGAAGTTAAGAATAACAATAAGAACTTTATTTTAGCATGATACATGTTTGTACAAATGAGTATAACAATTGAGTGTACATTCCAAAAAACCCTAGTTTCCAAGAATCTGGACGACTTTCTCCTATAAGTGCCGGATCAACCGGGCTGTGTGGATTTGCGGGCCGCTAGCATAAACTTTCTTGAAGATTAACACACATGTGCAACAGTTGGGGTATCTTTATTGATGAAACGTTTCGTCCACACAGCAGGCTTCTTCAGTCAAATATAGAGGGAGCAGGTGTAGTAGTGAATTAAAGATGATGTAATCAGTCCATCAACTTTGGAGAAAAAGCATTTGAGGTGGTCAGTCCCTCATCCTGGAGAAGAGTTCAGCTCCATGGTCTGGAACGACATCGTCAGCTAGAAAACCTAAACCTCAGACCGGGCTACATGGGTAAAAGAGCCATCGAAAGTTTCCTCAGATCAGTCCAGATTATGTCTCATTCCCCAGGTTTTATGTGACACATGCTTTGCGTTTCTAGGTGAATATACTAATAGTGTACCGCAGAGATGTAACATAATACAGCTGGTAGAAGTGAGTAGGCAAGAATATAGAATTGTGAGATAATAAAGCAGTAAGGTAATATAAATTGGTGTTAGAGAAATGTTTGTGTTAAAAACCTTGGTGATTATTACCTAGGAGTGGGTTTTAAGAACACGTGAGCACACACTAGGACATTTATTAGGATACATTTCAGTCCTAGAACCTATAAAATGTTTCGGTCCCAGAACAGAAAAGTTTTTAATTAGTCATAGTGTTTCCTTTCGTGTATTTTTAAAACAAGAAATATTTGTTAAACTAAAACATTACGCTGTGGGTCCGTCGACAGGTAAATAATACCGTCAAGTGTGACAAAGTTTTCAGAGAAAGGTTTTATTCTGACGTTTTGTTTAATGATGACTTTAAAGCACAACACTGAGTCAAACGTTGTCAGAATAAAGACTTGATCACCAAAAGTTCCAGTGAGCGAGTCTTTCACATGTCTTAAAACCCTCGCCAGAAGAAATTTTCATGGTTCTCCCGACAAAATAAATGCAACGGAGGTTTGTGTGTTGCAGGGGAGGACGCAGTATACCGCAGTACAGTGGTGGCGCTGGAGGGGGATGCTCCCAGACCTCCTGGAGGAGTCGCCTTCAACATCAAGGTGAGTACTCTTATTCTCTTTAATGGTAGAGCTGCGCCCACTTGTCTTCTGCTGCCTCCGTCCTCAAAGTTCTCATTTTCTCTCTCTCATTCTTTCTCATTTTCTCTCTTTCACTAACCCAGTTCATATATCCTCCATGACCCCCGGCTATACATCCTCATACCTCCTTCATATATTCTGCGAGACCTGCTCATATATCCCCCGTGAGTCAAGTTTACGATCTAAACTCATGTCTTTTTCCTGGCAACCAGAGACGAGCTTTTAGCTTGGAAAATAAAAATACGGTTAATGGCGTAGAATATGACGTTAGTGGCCTTACATAATGGATTCAGGGGCTAATGACATAACATTTTTTTTAACTTTAAAATAAATATGGTAAATAGTACCTATAATTGTATAAAAAAGACGTAAGCAACTTAGGGAATTTTTTATTTAGGGGATGTTTCGCTTACTAGGGGTTTTCCCTCAGCCTAATGGATTGATTCTTTACGCACCAAATATTGTGGCCACAGTGGCTTGCTCCAGCTCCTGGGCGGAATTACTCTCTTAATCACTGGAGTAGTTCCTAGCCTCCTGGGCATTATTATGTTTGATTTTAAAGTGTATGTGGGGGGGGGGGTAGTATATATTTGGTGCTGTGTCAACTGTGGTTGGTATTCAGACACACGTGTGTGTGTATACTGGGTTGTATATGTGTATTATGTGTGTGCTGGGGGGTGGAAAGGAGTACCAGAGTGCCACACAGGTTGGCCCAGGTGTGAGTAGTGCCTCTTTCTCGAATTCCTCGTTCAGCTCGCCAATTACTGAGATTGAACGATTAATTATTCAGCAGTATAAGCTATCCCCGTCAGGGGATAGCTTATACTATTTTTTCCGCAATATAATTTCCAGACAAATGCCTTAAAATTTCATCTGTATTCCATTTTAATACTAAGAAAAGATTTGCTATGAAATTTGGCAGTGGTGCCTCGTAGTATCTGTTGTAGGAACCAATATTTTCTTTATAGTCCATGAGTCATTTATCATAGTCTGTGGATCCTGGGTTCGAACCTCTCAGGTCAACGAAATGCCTGGGTAAGCTTTCCTTATGCTTCTGTTGCCCCTGCCCATTTATCAGGAAAACTGGGTACCTGTGTGTTAGCTGACTGCTGTAGATAGCATGCGGGAAAAATTGTTATGCAAATGGGTTGGAAACTTCAGTCCTTTTGGAAGGTATATTCTGGGCAAACTGCCGATGTGTAAAAACTTCAGACCTGCTGTAGGTATCAGTGTTGGGGAAAAAAAAAGTATCCGCACGCCACGTTTTATTTAATAATTCTAAAAAAATGTCTGTGAGCTGGAACAGCGTCAAGTGTTACCACACCGCACAGTACCAGATAATGTTTAATAATAATAATAATAATAATAATAATAATAATAATAATGTAAAAATAAAATAAAAAAATAATTATCGATGGAGGTGGTAGTTTATACGTGCATTTTAAAGTCTTAATTACAAGGAAAATCACCAAACTCGCATGCGTAGACATTATTACAGCGCCAGTTATTTAGCTAAACTGAAGAAATGAAAGGCGGTTCAGAGAATATATGAGTTATTAAATAGCTAATGGTTGAGTTAGTTAATGAGGTTTTTAAAGCCTATTGACTACACTAAGGCAGTGGAGGCTGCACGTAACCTCTACCATCAGACAAAAATACTTTTAATACTTTAAATAGGGATTAAAATCAACTTTCAACACATATATACGTCGAGAGAAATACACATCTCGGTGTATATATGCTGTGATAGCTGAAGTATAGCAAATTTTTTTTTTTTAAAAAGGATTTGAAACTTAAAAATTTGAAACTTAAAAAAATTTTTAATTTTTTAATATTTTTAAAATCGTTTTTAGTGGCAGGCATTTTTAAAAGTATAGTAATGTTTTTTTTATTTTTATTTATTTTTATTATAAAATATTAAGGTTTTTTTAAAAAAAAATTTTTTCGGGAGGTGGAAAGGGGTTTTAAGGGGGGGCCATGTTAAGCAATCCCCCCAAGGTCCCCAAACCGGGCCTCCCTAGGCCTAACAGGCCCCAGTACCCAAAACCATGGGGAAACGGCCCAAGAGGTAAAAATAGGCTAAAGGTAGTAGGTAAGTAAAGGCCTAATGGCCCTCCCCAGAGGCCAAGTAGGTTTCACGACCCTCACCTCCCCCCACATCCCCTAATCCCCTAATTTTGGGGTACATTTCACCAGTAGGCTCCCCAGTACCTCCCGTGGTAATAGGCCTAAACCAGTACCCCTAAATATACCTGGCCCTCACCAAAAAGGCTAATCCCCTAAAAACGGTATTTTTCGGCCCTCCAAATAAAAAGGAAAAGAAAATAATTTAATATAAAAAAAGGTAAAACGGTACCCAGTGGAAGTGGCCCACCATGGAAAGTGGTCCCTTCCCTCACCAGAGGGCCCCTCACACAGCCTCACCAGTAGGGCCCCCCGGGCCTCACCAGTAGGCCCTCCCCAGCGGCCTCACCAGTAGGGTCCCCGGCCTCACAAGTACGGCCTCACCAGTACGGCCCCCCAGGGGGGCCCACCAGTACGGCTCACCAGAGGCCCTCCCCAGAGGGGCCCACCAGTACGGCCTCCCAGTGGCCCTCACCAGAACGGCCCTCCCAGTACGCCTCCCAGACGGCCCCCACCAGTACGGCCTCACCAGTAGGGCCCTCACCAGTAGGGCCCTCACCAACGGCCTCACCAGTACGGCCCCCCCGACCCCTCCCACCCGGGGCCTCACCAGCAGGGCCCCTCACCAGTAGGGCCCCTCACCAGAAAGGCCTCACCATAGGCCTCCCCAGAAAGGCTCAATCTACCAGGGGCCTCACCAGTACGGCCTCCCATGGCCCCCATCCCCCCCCCGGTCACCATACCCCCCACCAGTACGGCCTCACCAGTACGGCCCCACCATAGGCCTCACCAGTGCGGCCCCACCAGAGGGCCTCACCAGTAGGGCCTCACCAGTGGGCCCTCCCCATACGGCCTCCCAGCCAACCTCACCGCACGGCCTCACAAGCACGGCCTCACACATCCCCCTCCACTCATCCATCATATCCAAATTTAAATTTACGTATCATCTGGGCCCACGCGAAAATTTTAGCTCTGGTATTACAAAAGGGCATTTTTTTTTTTTTCTGGCAGTAACCCCGGATAACTGTCGCCCCCCCCCCTCCCTTCTCTCTCTCCTCTCCCCTCCCTCCTCTCTCTCTCCCTCTCCTCTCTCTCTAAAACTTTTGCTTCCCCCTGCTAAAAAAAAAAAAGATCTATTTCTCAAACTCACGTTCTCTCAATGTATTTCAATTTCAACTAAAAAATACTTTACTTTCCCGGGTCTATTAATTTTCATTATTCATATTCCTTGATGTTTTTACTTCTAATATTTTACTTCTAATAGGTTTACTTCCCTTGTTTAAAATTTTCGGGGGTATATTTCACGTTTTTTGGGGAAATTTCCGTTCTCGTGATTAGTTCCGTTCTCTTGATATACTTCACGTTCTCTGTTTATATTCACGTTCTTTGATATAGTTCACGTTCTCTTGATTGTTCACTTCTTTTGTATAGTTCACGTTCTCTTGATATACTTCACGTTCTCTTGATATAGTTCACGTTCTCTTGATATACTTCACGTTCTCTTGATATACTTCACGTTCTCTTGATATACTTCACGTTCTCTTGATATAGTTCACGTTCTCTTGATATAGTTCATTCTCTTGATAAGTTCACGTTCTCTTAATATACTTATTTCTCTTGATATATTTTCCACGTTCTCTTGATTTACTTCATTTTCTCTTATTACTTCAGTTCTTTTTGAATACTTCACGTCTCTTGAATACTTTTACGTTCCTTGATATACTTCACGTTTTTGATAACTTTACTTTTCTCTGATATACTTCACGTTCTCTTTTTTCTTCAGTTCTCTTGATAATTCACTTCTCTTGTATATTTTACGTTCTCTTGATATACTTCACGTTCTCTTAATATACTTCACGTTCTCTTGATATACTTCACGTTCTCTTGATATACTTCACGTTCTCTTGATATACTTCACGTTCTCTTGATATACTTCACGTTCTCTTGATATACTTCACGTTCTCTTAATATACTTTCCGTTCTCTTGATATTTTTCACGTTCTCTTAATAACTTCCGTTCTCTTGATATACTTCACGTTCTTTAAATATACTTTCACTTTCCTTGATATATTCGTTCTTTTGATATACTTCCGTTCTCTTAATATACTTCACTTTCTCTTGATATCTTCACTTTCTCTTATAACTTCCTCTCTTGATATACTTTACGCTCTTGATATACTTCAGTTCCTTGATATACTTCACGTTCTTTGAATACTTCACGTTCTCTTGATTAGTTCACTTTCCCTTTTAATTTACTTCACGTTTCTTGAATACTTCACGTTCTCTTGTATACTTAAACGTTCTCTTGTTTATACCCACGTTCTCTTAATTATTTTCACGTTTCTTTAATATACTTCACTTTCCCTTTTTGATTTTATTTCCCTTTTCCCTTAAATATTAAATTAAAAAAGGGGGTGCTAGCTGACGGGAATAAAACTGCTGAATTTTTTCCCCTTTTAAAATTTTAAAAGTCTTCCAGCATCATCCCTCCTGAGCCCCCTTCCACGGTCTCCCCCCCCCCCCCCCTGTCTCCCCCCCTCCCACTGTCTCAACCCCCCCCCCTCCCCAAATTTTTTTTTTTGTCTCCACCACCCCCCCTTCCCCCCCATTTTACCCCCACCAAAATTCTCTCTGCCTTTCCCAAACCCCATTACCTCCGCCACCACCCCCGGTAAAAGAAAATTAGTAACAAAAAAGTTTGGTAAGGGTTTGGGGAATTAGGGTTAAATTAGCCAACACACTGTCTCCTAAAAAGCAAATTTGACTTTTTTTTTCCCGGATTTCCCCGCTGTATAGTTTCCCTTTTGGCTTAGCCCCTTCTTTTTGATTATAAAAAA